TAAGTATGGATATGAGCGCTCTATCCTCTAAGGGACTTCTGTTTTTTCCCCTTACTCTCTCTTTTTTCTTCAAGTGATGCCAATCTCCATAGCTGCTCTGCTGACAAGAGTCCTCATGTTTTGTGAGGCAAATGATTCTGCTACGTTACAGAGGAGGTATGTTGCAAGCATTGCAAAAGCTAAGCTACCTTGGAAAGCTCTTGCTAGCTGTTTGTTTCCTGAGAACTCACTTTCTTATGTACCTGACAACAGAACTAGCGCTCATTTGGCAGTTAAGCCACTCTTCCAGAGAGTTCTAGGCAAGGGATAATCTACAAGTACCAGCTGTGTGTTTCTCACACCTTAAACAAGACAGGCACCTTGTTAGAAATGGCCCTGACGTGGCTTAGCAACCTTGTCTGACCAAACTATGCGTAAGGATGTGATTGGGATTGCAGTGAGAGCTTTCCCCAGACATGTCCAGAAAGGAATGCCAAGGAATGCCAGCAGCACTGCCTGTATGTCCACGACAAGGAATTTTTTTATTTTTTATTTTTTTATTTTTTTGTAACTTCAAGGCAGTAAATTTCCCTTTTTTCCCTTTTGAGAAGTTTCTTCAGTAGCTGTATGAAAGTCTACTTCAAGGAAAGACTGGACCACATTAGCTGATGGCTTGGGCCCTTTGAAACTACATGCCAGTGTTCAGACTTCATGGTACTCTTACAATTGCTTGTTACATAAACATCCACTTTTCAGGACACAAAACACTGAGAGGAATAGAATGTAGAAAGAGCCCAAATATTCTATATTCTGTATATCTTCAAGTAATATACACTCTATTTAGGAGAAATGACAATTTGTGCTGTCATATTTTCATTTGCAATTACCATGCTAGTTACCTTATGAGATATATCCACAATCAGTAATGAATCACAGCCATAGCATGCTCCATTTATTAGAAATTAAATGCTTCATAGCATGGCTTACTCGGTAAGACATATACTTAGCTGATAAGTGTGTGCTATTATGCTGTGATTCTATTCTGTGTATGTTTTGCTGTTGTGCACGTAAAAATGGGTATGTGGAAGGGGAGCAGCAAAAAAAATTGCAGGTGAGAAAAGGATAGTGAGTCATATTTGTATAATAAAACTAGTTGCATCAAACAACATCTACACTTCTGTGGAAAAAAAATATTATAACAAAGCAGAATATTCTAATGGGCTATTTATAGGTGATAGATCAGCAGCAAGAGATGACTACAGGAATATCTTAACTAATAAGCACTCTGTGACCTTCACTGAATCCAGCTTTATGACACCTTACTAATTATATCCCTCCCACAAACTGTTAAGACTCACAGCTATGATTGTAGTCTCTCCATATTTCCTAGTTTGGTGAAAGAGTAAAACCAAAGATATTTATGTGAAGTTACTTTAAAGTGCAAATTATGCAGGATTGAATTTGTAAATAATGGACCAACCTGCTGTTCTTCAGTTCTTTATTTTTTGTTGATGAGTTTGCAGTATAAAACTGAGCAGGACAACATGGATCAAAATTTAAACAAAATGGACGATATTGACTTGCCATTTACTGAAACTATGCCTTGGAAAATGACAATATTAGAAGGAAGTGTTAGAAATCATTGTTGTAGTTATAAAACCTCTGGTATTTTTGATACCTTTCTGTATGTTTTTGATACTGCATTATATAATTACAACATAATGGAACTTATCCAGAGAATTTGGAGTTATTACACTAGCTTCAGTGGTTATCTACAGAGTACCATGAGAAACATAAAAATACTAACAAAGGGAAATCCCTCAACTGTGAACGTCTGAAGAGTTTATTGTACTAATGTGAGAGATAATTCATTTCCAAACTATGAAAGCCAAACAATGTATCCATTTATCACTACACACTCTGAACAGATATATTCTATTGACCAATCAATGTACCATTCTATAGAGAGCATCACATCCAAATGATGGTCAGTAACCTCTTCTTGGACATGAATCAAAGTATCGGGCAGATGTGAATGTGAATTTCTCGCAAATATAGATAATCTTCACTAGCTTAAAATGGTGAGCCATAAAACAATTCAGTGACTACCTCACATTTTATGAGATTGCAGGACATGATTAAAATAACTGAACATATGAATATCTTATATGGGGGATTATCCTTAGATTTAGTACCTTTCCAGGCCACTGGATGTGGTGTACAGTTGATTTGCATTTCAATATTATGTAGAACTCATGCACATACTTAGTTCAGCACTGCAATCAAAACCAAATTTCTAATCTCCAGTGAGTGCTGTGCCTGAAAGTCTTCTAGAAGTTATCATTTCAGAAATGATCTGACTTTGCTATCCATACTCTAGAAAGTGGTATTTCTCACAGTTGCCAGATAAATATGTAAATGGTGATCATATTTGCATCACTGCAGTAGTATCTGGAATCAAAAACAACCAGCCATTTATCTCCTGGGAGAGATACCTCTAATCAATCACTTCCCCTTGCAAGGGTAATTAGTTAATGGTTGGACATGTGTAACTTCTGATCACCTTCGGCTACCAACAGGACTATGTCATTTCACACAACCATTCCCTCTTACAATCCTCCTGTACTTCAGGGCCCCCTTCACCCTTTGCTCCTTTCTGCCCTCCCCATAAGCAATGTGATCTGCTTTCCCATCTATGTCACCATCAGAACCTGGTAACCAATGCAACATAAAAAGAAGCATGGAGAAAGAAATGACTTCATAATGACCTCACAGCTTTCAGGATGCCTTTTACTTTTTTTACTTTTAGGTGAATGGTTGGACTGGATGATCTTGTAGGTCTTTTCCAACCTTGGTGATTCTATGATTCTATTATTCTACTTACTAACCTTTCTGTAGAAATCTTTTCCATATAGGAAATGTCTGTGCATGCTCTAATTGTTACTTTCAGATGCTCCGTAAGCTAATAATAAAATAACAATTTTTAATACTGAAAGCAGCAATTGTCTGAGACAAAACATGGAGTTAAATTTCTATCTAAATATCTGATAGAGAAAAAAATATCTTTAAAGCTTGGCATTAAAAATTCATATTTCTCTGGGTACTCCTTTAGTGTGATGACTCCAATGTTACATTTTACAAAATGTTAATTTTCCTTTTCCCAAGTTTCCCAAAGAGAAAGGCTGTTATTTCTTTTAAAATAACAGGCACGTTATGACACAGCAGTGTAAAAGAAAAGAAAAGAAAAAACTAAACACATTTTCCTTCTAAATGGCATATTTATACTGTACATTAAAAAAATATATTAATGCTGCAAAGCGTGTTGAGACAATTCACTCAGATTATAAGCCATTTCCTTTAAGATTGCTGGACCATAGCACTTCTGTGTTCACAAAATCTTTCTGCATTGCTTTTTAATTTTTTTGTTTTTCTTTAATGTTTCTGTGCAGTAAATTCCAGACGATGTTCTTTTACTCAGCTTAGCTCTTCTGTTTCTCTTCATGATAAAAAGGACTTGTGTCAATAGGCACAGCTGGCAATTCAGATGACTACAATCTGACACAAGTATCTTACTGTCTTCGGTTATTTTTGATTGAAACTCCTCTGTAAAGCTGAAAATTCATCATAACTGCCTGATATATCTTTATTGACTAAGGCTTGTCAAAGAAAATCAGATGATAATTTCAGGAAATGACCTTTTTTTTTTTTTATGGCTCAGAATGTAGAACAGAGATTTATTGGCTTTGTTTGAAATCAGGTGCAAATAATTCTGAAATCTGTGTTAATGCGCAAGGTTGGGGTAATCCCAAACATGAATACAGCCTGGGCACTAAGTGAAAGAGTAACACTGCAGAGAAATACATGGGGGTACAGATGGACAAAATGTTCAACATGAACTGGCAATGTATGCCTGAAGCCCAGAGAGCAAACCATACCAATAGAAGTATAGCTAGCAGGGCAAAGAAGGTGGTTCTCCCCCTCTGCTCCAATTCCTTAAGACTCCACCTGCAGTACAGTGTTCAGCCCTGGGGAGTGTATCCAGAGATATGATCAGAGGACTGAAACACCTCTTCTATGAAGACATGCTGAGAGGATTGGGGTTATTCAACCTATAGTAGAGAAGGCCAAGGTACACCTTCAGGTAGTTTCCCATACCTAAAGAAGGCATATGGGAAAAGATGGGGAGGGACTCTTCATTGAGGAGTATTGTGATAGGACAAGGGGTGATGGCTTTTAACTAAAAGATTGTTGATTTAGATTAAATGCTAAGAGGAAATTATTAACTCAGAGGATTGTGATGCATCGGAACAAGTTGCCCAGAGAAGCTGTGGATTCCCCATTCAAGACCAGGTTAGAGATGGCTTTGGGCAATCTGGTGTAGTGAAAAGTGTTCCTGTTCAATGCAGAGGGGTTGGAACAGGATGATTTTCAGGTATTCTCCAAACCAAACCATTCTACTGCAATTTTATTCTATGATTCTAAAGTGATGAATATAACCAAGATGAATTATGAGTTGTGGTGCTGATCAGATTAGCACCTCAATCCGTAGGTATCTGGTACTGTCTGTAGTAACTGAGAGTCCTTCTTTGGTCTCCAGCTGTCACTCCAGAGGAGCAAAGATCTTCTTGAGGTCCCGCATCATATTTCTGGGCACCAGACAGACATGTTGCATGTTCTTGGATGCCATAAGTGGCATTGGGTGCATTTGTGTGACAAAATGATTGGAGGCACTAGTACATTACTTTTGAATTACAGAAATAAAATCATATCCAATCTCTAGTGTTCTGAAGGAGCTTTTTAAAAGTACTGACCTACTTCTCCATCATTTTAACATATTTATTTGCATTATAATGCATTTATTTGTAGAGTGTACAAGTCCTGTACTCCATAAAATTAGAACTTGTGCTTGTGGAACAAGATGGTATTCTTTAGCTGGCTTCAAAATATTCTTAATAGCAAAACACACTCTTTGTAAGGCAGGTTGAAGTACATCATGTATCATCAGATACAGTCTCCTGCGTGCTGCATGTTTGAAATAAAGCAGAATTCCAAGGATTATTTGCCTCTTCTTCCACAAATTATATTTTATCTTTGAAATATGGGTTGTGATTCCAGGATCTTTGAAATAATTGGAAAGCCATCTTTTGGCATAAAAATGTTTCTAGATCACCCTGCTTTTTCAAAAGCCATGGAAAGAACCTCCCTTACTCACCTGCTTCTTCCAACTACTGCTCAGCTTTGGGGACAAATTTCAGCTCACTCTTTATGTTCTGAATCTCTGACAAGTTGACAGCAGGACCTGGAAGTTTTATAGCTCCTGGAAGATGCTTCTTGTCTTTCTCCTCTTCTGTAGCAGGTACACTCTGCACAAAAGGATATCAGTCACCTTGCTGTTGCAATAGAAAGCTCTTGAGTATAAGCACAGGTCAATTATTTGAGAAACAGTAAAGGACATTCTGGTTGGTTGTTGTTTTGAATTTCCAAATACATTTTGAAAAAGAAAAAAAAAGAAGATGGTCAGTGAAGAGGAATGTGGATCTTTCTGTAAATGGACAAGATTTTACACTGTCAGCTTGTTAGCATAAATGCAAAAGAATATTAAAAACAACTGCAGATCTTTCATTTTGAGGGGAAAAAAAAGATAAGGAATCATTTTTATCATCCATTTTCTTACAGTCTCATAGTTGCTGGCCTCCTGGATAGGAAAAACATCATGCATTTTCCCAGTTTTGGAAATCAACTATATCAACAGTAAGCTATCCCCAAAAGCTCTGTCCAGTTTCAGCTTCCATCGATGTTTAATTTTTCTTAAGGGATTTTTGCCACTTCATGTTTGAAATGGGGTTGTGCTTAATGGCTATTTTGCTAACACTGCAAAAATACAGGCTAAATAGCAGTATTAACACAATTGCAAACATAGCAAATATTCCTGATGGACCATAGCATATCACCCCTCGGTACTTCCTCCACTGTACTATTGTTCCTCAGTGAGGTAGAGCATGTATTTTAGACAATTTCTATGCTATACTGAGCAATTTTTTGAAGGTGTAGCTTTCCAGTAGGGAATTTAAGGTTTATCCACCCTGTTCTGTATTTTACAGACTGGACACATAGAGGGAATCAGGTAGAATCAGAGGTGAATGAATACTTTACTGCAAATAATTTCACAAACTATTTTTTCTTTTTAAATTACTCTGTAAATGTTCTCTTGGATGGGCTTTTTGGAGTTTGAAGTTAATCCAGTATTTATATTTATTAGCCTGTGATCAGTCAATTCCTAACATTTAATTTCATTTTTAAAATTTCAGAGTTATTTGTTAATTATTATTGGCCAGTAAAATCCATTTATGATCAAGGAACTACATACCAATTAGGAAGCAGAATTTTACAGTAGCAAATAAACAAGGAATTTTAGAAAACCAAGTTACTTTTTATGTAGTCTTCTGTTGTGTTTTTATTTTATTTATTTATTTTTTTTTAATCTGAGCTTCTTAGAGATCACTATATAAAAGAAAACTGGAGCAACTGTATTGCTTGGCTTAGTAGATTTTTAATATCTTTTCCCATTTTTAAAGTTAATATGGTATTAGTTATTGCAAGCTAACATTTTTTGTTTTGGTCATTTAAGATCCCAGTCAGTAGTTCAGCCCCAGATACTACATGAAATGTTTAATATCTTGCTTATGATCTAACATCTGGGAACAAAGCTCAGCAGGAGAATAATGAAATTGACACACAAATTGTTTGGAGAGATGCACAAAATTATAATAGTTAAAGGTGTCATGAGCTTGTTTTGCTTCCTTTCACAATTATACTGCACAGCTTGCTAATTTGAAAAAATTCAGAAAAACAACTACTAACTAACCCTAGCTACGGTCCTGAAAATCCCACAGTTCTTACTAGCTCATAGCAGATATCATACTACAGAGACCATTTCAAGTTATCTGCAAAACTGTTCTTTCTTGTAGTAAATATGGTGCACGCTGTAAAATGATTTAGATTTATGAGAAGAGTTAACAGATACATGCATGGGATTGTTCTGAGTGAAGAAAAGTTGTTTTCTGAAATCCCCACCTCCCTTTTTTTGTTTTTTTTTGTTTTTTTTTTGCATGTCACTAAGGTCTTTTCTTTGACCTTCACAAATATGCATTTCCTTTGGACTATACCAACCCTTTGAGTAAGAACAATACTTCTCTCATCTCCTTTGCCAAGGTTTTAAAATGCAGTGAAAAATGCTATTAGCAAAAGACTATTAGCAAAAGATATTTGTCTAAGGCTGCTCTAAAGACTCATGAGCTATACTGACTGCAAAGATTAGCCAGTGGAGAATGCAAAAAGACAAGCTCACTGGTAGCATTTTTATTCTATTCCTATGACAAGAGCTGTTTCTGTAGTCTCTACTTCCATTGGTTTGGGTGAATATAAAATCAGGCCCAAGAACTTTCATTTCATAATTTCTATCTCGTGTATAGTATTTATGTAATTCTAAAGCAAAGCAATATGCAATTACCCAACCAAATTTAATTTTCAGTACTTGTCGTTTATTTTATCTCTCACATACTACCATAGTTCACTCATATCACATTAGTTTCTGCTTAAAAATATTAATTCCTCACCAATTTAATTACTGCAGAGGCAATGTATTTTTATTTCCTTACAGGAAGCAGTATGTGCTTAAGGTCACTTTCTCTGTTTTATATTCTTTTGTTTTAAATCTTAAAAAGAGTTAAATCAGGCTGAATTTGATAAGAATAATTTTCTGTAAACAGAGCAATATTTATATTGAATATATTGAAATTCAGAAAAGAAAACTTGTCTCATTTAGACTGAAAAGGAATTAAGCATTCCTTAACCAAAATTTCCCACTGTATGTGCCTGTACCTAGTCATAAGCAGCTGAGGATTTGTCCAAAGTGAACCAGGCTGTTGAATGGGAAAGGCTCTTTCCAACCACAGCAGCTCTACTTCAGCCAGTATGCAGCACTGAGTTCTGCCCAAGCTGGCCTGGCTGCATGGGTCAGTCTGAGCCCTGCTGTCCATGGCTCCAAGGAATATCAGCAGTTCTGGCACAGGACCGGTTCTGAGATGGGGATTACACAGCCAGACTATGCCAACTGGCCAAGGAGCAATAGGCAGCCATCCTAACTTGTGTATTTTTCTTATTTGGAGCATCTCTCTCTCTCCACAGTTGGTTTTAGATGCTTAAAAGTTCATGGTAAATAAGATGCTCTAATATCATCCAGAAATATGACATCTGTGATCCTTGTTGGCTAAGGTATAAATTACACTTCCTGTTATAAATCCAGTGTTAAATACTCCCTGTAAATTACAGGTGTCAGAACACAGAATTCAGTCTGGCAAGGAGTATTTTCTTCCATCTGCAGGTAAATGGGTTCACAGTTTCTGGTTTTAATTTGCAAACATTTAGTCTTTACACTCCATCTTTATTTGTTGATAAATAATCCAAAAAGCTTTCCAAACGTCAGGTCTGAATTCCTGTCCAATATTGTTAAGCTGTAACAATAAAGTTCACCACAGGGCAGCAGGTAGTAATGGACCCTTCCAAAGCCTTGCTATAACTTTACCTGCTGTATTCCACGAGCTCCAGCCTAGATAAATACTGTTCATGAACTCCTGACAGCAGATTTCATCCTGTTGTTGAAGTAGTGCTACAGACCCTCAAAATACTTTGACTTCCTACAAATACCTTGGCAGCAAAAATTACATTTTTACAAAGTGTTTCATAGGTGGTCAGTTACTACCATGGGTCATCTTTGTATGTCAGCTGTGGTACTTGTGATTGGTAGGTAGTGCTGTAAGATTGATTTAAATGCTTTCTTACATCAGTGTCAAGGACTCCCTTGAAAAAAAGAAAATATTGAAAAGCCCCACTTCTTCTTACCTCCTCCACTTCTTCAGGTGTTACTTCTTTTCTTTTATGAGGGTGTCCTGCACCAGGTCTAAACGCTCCCATGGGGATGTTAATATTAGCCTGTCAGAATGAAATTATAATGTTTACAATAATGACTGATATATAGACACAGTTAGTGGTGAAATTCTAGGGTGCAACAGGAGTACAGATTATTGTACAGACATTCGTTAACAACACTTCCATGGGAAAGAGAAACACTTCCATCTCCATGATTCCATGATTCTATTTTGAAGATGGAAAGTGAAAACACAAAGCTACCCAGACAGGGGTAGGAAAAGCTCTAAAGGGGCCCACTTCTCAAATTAGCCCAATCCTGGTCAAACACATGATAGAGCCTGGCTTCAGCCCCTGGCTTCAACAACCTTCCTCCAAACGGTACCTTTATGACTAATGAAATCTGTGTTTTTATCTGTGAGATAAGCCAGTAGCCACAATAATGCAGTTTGCAATAAATTTTTAAAAACAAAGATTCCTGGAAGGACAGCTTAGGGAAGAATGGCTAAAATGTATCCGTCCTTGTGTGACCCAGACAGGATCATTTTAAAAGTCAAATGGTGTGATCAACTAAGTGCACAAATTAAACCTATTCTTATCTCACGATCTCTGAAAAGAAGCTGCTCATAGGAAATGTCATCAAAATATCATGACTCCCACTTCGAAAACCAGCGGGTGAATTGGTAATGCCACTGAGCTGAAGCAGAGAACCTTCACACAGTGAGCTGCTTTATTGTCATTTACCATCTGACTGATTTGCACAAAATGAGGATGAACAATACCATCCTTCTGCTCAAATCATGGTCCTGCAGATTGCACCCAGGTTGGATAACCACAGGAACACAGCCCACAAATGTTCTGGCCATAATTCAGCACCTGATGAATTAAGAATCCAATTGATATGAAATAAGCAGCTTTCTCTTTTTTCATTTTTTTATACTTCTATTTATGCAAGTTGCTGATTCCATTTCAGTGGAGCTCGCAAATATCTGTAGAGCCATGTATTTTAGAGACAAATAAGGATTCATTTCACATGCTTTTTCGCTGAGCATTAGTTTAGATATTGTGAAACCTTTCATCTGCACTCATTAAGTTCCCAGGAGACAGAGCATTTTCAGCCTCACAGTACTTAACCCATTATTTCATTTAGGAGTGGAAAAAAACAACTTTGCTATTTATAATTTTATGCATCTCCCCAGACAGTCTCTGGTACCTCCAGTCAGAGGCTTTTTTTGGAATAGGAAACAGCTTAGCACTTTACAGAGAGTGTGGCCACACAGGTTTGCAGAACTGAATCACCAGAGCTATTCCCAGGACGGATCTCTCCTCCTCATTTTGTTTGGGCATCTATTCTTCTTGGAGTCAATAAAAGCAGAAATCAGCCTCCTACAGCCACCCAAGGCTGACCACAAAACTGTAAATCCTTGCATTTCTTCCTGTGATGGACAGATCAACAGTGACTAAAAATGGTTCAGGAAACAAAAGTGAACCGTTAAGTGCCAGACTGCTAATCAAATTAAAGAAGCCATTCTTTGGTCCACTTCAGCATTTTCAGAGTGATCTGTATCACATTGCTGTGGTCTGAACCATTTTACCTGCAATAAATGCATTCACTTCAGAGTTTAGACAAGATGTATGCAGACATGAAATACTTAGTAAAATGAGCAGCCTTTAAGACATAGTTTAATATTGTCTGGACTTGACAGCACACCACACTATAACACATGATAACTTTAAATATTTCTAGGATGGAAAGAAAGTATGGCTAATTTCCTAGTAGCACCTGACCAGAGATGCTAGAATCCTGAGCATAAATCTCCTTTTAACTCAAGGCTGGTCCATTCTCATGGATAAGCAGCCATGTAAAGCATGAGCAATGGACTGAGTCCTGCATGCCAGTGTAGCTCTGGAAGGATTGTGTTTGTGTTGCAATCAACACAAATGTATAACTTGTGTTTATTTTAAAAATCCTCCTCAGGGCTTTTGCTACCTGGCTGCTGGGATGGAGACACAAATCTTGGTGACCTCTTTCTTGTCTGACCCCATCCAGTGAAATGCTAAATAGAACATTTTTCATTCCAAACTCTTGAAGCTGTAAATTATAATTGCTGTAGTCAGACCTCTGTACCTGTGTTTGTACCTGTGTTACTTATTTTTAATAATACTGATTCTTATTGGGTTTACATCTTTCTTTGTTTCTGGAAAGTGCCTATCATAGTTTGGATGTCATTGCAGTTCTCATAATGAGTACAAATTTGTCTTAATGTACTCTACTAAGGTCTTCCTGAACACTCTGAAGGGAACACATCTAAAAGTATGTGGCTTCTTTCTGAGAAGCAACATCCAATCTTTGTCTTTCTCAAGGCCACCTTCTAAGTTCTGCTGCAACTAGTAACAAGTTTATGAACTATGAATGAATGTGGAATAAGTGTCAATTATTTTGGTAAACACTGTGCATCCCTTGTATTTGTTGGTAGTGGTTGTTGCTCATTCAGTAGTAATCAAAAGCCAAAGTCTTGCTGTATTTTAACCAAAATTGACTGGGATCAGGTTCAGGTATTCAGGAACAAAGGGCTTTGAAACAGTTAGTGAAGCAGTGGAACCAATGAAGCACTGGCACAGGTGCACCCACACCCAGAGAGGTGGTGGATGCCCCGTCACTGTGCACCAGTGCATCCAGGGTGAGGCTGGATAGGGCTCTGAGCACCCTGATGTAGCTGTAGGTGGCCCAGCTTATTGCACAGGAGTTGCATTAGATGGCCTTTAAAGGCCCCTTCCAACTTAAATGATTCTGTGAGAATGAGGGCTGCTCTGAAAGTAATGCTTCTTATATTATTATGTTGGCACATGACCTTAGATAAATTCTTCACAGTATAATACTAATTCCTACCTGTCCAGAAGCATTACTAAATAAGCTGGAAAGCTCCTTGAACATAAACATGTTCAAGTCGAAAAACAAAAAAAACCAAAAAACAAAAAAACAAAAACAAAACAAAACAAAAAACAAACAAAATAAAAGAGGGGAGGGAAAAAACTGCATGTAATTCAGAAAAGGAAAAGAAAGAAATAGAAAAAAAAAAAAAAAAAAGAATAGTGCTTGTGGGGAGAATAATTGTCAGTGAGAGCTATAAACATCCTGAGGAGGAGAGTAAAGAGAAACAAGCAATGAAAGTTACTAGAAGTTAATACTTCTTTGGTCCCCTGTGATCCCAAACTACCCTTAGGAACAAGATGTTACTCTTTACATGTCTGTATTTAGTAGCTCTTGGCATGTGAAGACTTCAGGGTACATCCTGTACAGTCAGAAAGAAACTACTCCTGACATCCAGCATCACCAGATAATTCAGTCAGTGAGGTGGCATTACATTTCTGTTGTTATAGCACTATGTATATTCTCTACAGGATGTCAGTCCTACTGCAATAACATCTAATAGCAAAGGAGGATCATAATATATGAATCACAGTGTATGAAAGTAATGTGACATTTTGAGTTGTGGTTCTCAGAGTACTCCAAGTGCAACAAGCATCAACTCAAGAGCAAGTCTCCCTGCTGGAGCAACCTTTGATACAATATTTAATAGATTTATTTTAAAGTTTGTACAGTAATTTTCCTAGTGCAAATTACCATTGTAAAAATTAAAGTTTCATAATATATGAAACTCACTGCTGCAACTTAATGCATTTTTTAATGGACAAACTAAATTGATTCCTTAAAAACACTTGTACATGCTCATGAAGTTTAAAATTAAAATGTAAAACATTTTAATCTGAATTATCTACATTTTTTCATTAAATGAAAAAAAATTTTCATGGTGTCTGGACGAGGAGCTGCGAGATATGGTTTAGTTGCTTGTGGTAGCAGTGGTAATGTGAAGATGGTTGGACTAGATGATCTTAGAGGTCGTTTTCAATCTTGTGATTCTATGATTCTATGATTCTATGATTAATCATATAAATATTTCCATCATCTATATATGAGGGATAAAAATCTGAACTACATGAAATCAGTGGCTTCTGATGATTTCAACTGAATTAACTTGCATCTCTTTTCCAGTACATATGATGATGACCAAAATTAGCATTTTAGTGTCTTTTCACTTTAGTATGCTGTCTAGCCACCAGATAACTAATCTTCCTGATAGTTCAGTCCACTAAGTTAGTATTACCTTGGGGAAACAGAGGGTAGGTCAGACTTCAGAAATTCCATTTTATGATTCTTATATATTTTAAAGGGAACCTGAACTTGTGACAAAAATTTGGTTACAGGTGCATTTTACAAAATTCAAGAACACTGTTAAATTCTGCATCTCAGGAATTTATTTTACATAACAAGAATCAATGATAGTGTGAATTAAGTACAATTTAATTACTTCATGATGACAATGGGCAAATTCTCCAAGTGTTTCTTTTACAACACTATAACAACCAACTTCATTCTTATGACAATAAGCCATTTGAGGAAGTATATGACATAAGGTTTTTCTACTGAAAATGTAAGCTTTTCTCACATTCTATTTATGCTTTAAACAAAATGTTTTCTTAATCAAATATTACATTTTTTTTTCTTTTTATTGAGAATATACAGGCATTAAAAACCTTAATAGTTCTGCTATCCTTTTAGACTAAAGTTCTTCCAAAATTACATTAACTCTATGGAAAATCCAATAGTTGAAATAATTAGTTTTACTCATAACGCTGATCAGTTTTGTAGATATATCACCATGTTTTACTTTGCTGGTTCACCAACAGACATAAGCTAATGTTGAAAAGGATACATCAGCAAGCAAGTGAGCAAACAGCTTATCTGATCCATTTTTTTCTCAGCTCACATTATAAGATCTTGTTCAGGTCAAAATTTTTCAGTACCAAGCTTTTAACTTTGAAAGAATAATCCCCATTTAGCACTTCTGCAGGGTTTTGTAGGAGCAAAGTGCAGTCTGTCAGACAACAGAGATTGAGATTTATTATTTATTATATTAGAAACATAAATACTGTCTCTTACCTGAATGGCTTTGACATGTGACGCTGGCTGTTTTGACATTTTTAAGACAGTGTCTTATCCCTGCAAGCAAAATGGGAAAGTGTTACAGGCTGTGACATTCTGATACCTAGGGGAGATAAACTAGAACTTAACCCATGCTGCCTCTTGAGAGGCATCCATTTCACCTGCCCATCTCCTATTTCCGTTTCAGTTTCAGAGTTGCTTAGGTATTCCTTCC